TTAATCAGGAGTATGAACCCTTATATTGTTGTCCACTCCATTGTGAATGCGTCCTACAGTTCTCCCTTCTTTGTCACAAGGTTCAGGGAGGCACTTTTCCATTTCTCTGCATTATATGATGTATTTGATGCTACTGTACCTTCTGAAGAGCCAGCAAGATTGATGCTTGAAAATGAATTTTCTGGCCACGAGGCAATGAATGTTGTGGCATGTGAGGGTTTGGAGAGGGTTCATAGGCCGGAGACATACAAGCAATGGCAGATTCGAAATATAAGAGCAGGGTTCAAGCCACGTCCACTGGACCAGGAACTAATGCAGATTTTAAGGGACAAGTTGAAGAAATTTTACCACAAGAATTTTGTAATTGATGAAGATGGTCACTGGATGCTGCAAGGATGGAAGGGCAGAATTCTTTATGCTTCCTCTTGTTGGGTACCTGCCTAGGAGTCCTGAAACTTATTAGTTGGAAACTAAGAGCAGTCAACACTGCAATTCTTACATGATTAGTCGGTGCCAAAATGATTTCATAGACTGATTAAGGTAAGTTCAGTTTATTTCCCTCTCTCATGGACACACATACACACAGGATGACAGAAACTTCTATTCAGTATGTATGCTATATTTTTGTTTAATTACCAGGTGATTTTATAGGTAGGATTGTATGCTATATTAGCTTGGTATTTAATTTTGCAAAAGTAAGTACATGGGCCAAGTTTGCTGCTTCTTTGTTTTCAGATAATAAATGGTACAGGTTGCCTTCTTTTCCAAGACCTTGATGGTGTTCAGAGGATTGAAGTACTAGGCTTTCTATACCAGATATGTTTTGTACATTTTCTCACTGGTATTTTGCATTCCAGCACCATTCAGAAATTAGAAATAGCATTTTTCTTTTCTTTTCTTTTTTTCTTTTCTTTTCTTTTTTTCTTTTTTTTTTAACGTAAGAAATAAATAGAAAGAATTGTGCTGTTGTTGTAAATTGGCTTTATGAACAATTACTCATATCATATGTCATGAAAGTGACACATTAGTGGGTGTTCCTTTTTGTTTTTGGATAAAGATTTACTTCTATTAGTTTTTTCCATTTCATTTATATAAAATTTTAATAATTTATTTTTTATTTTTAATAATTAAAATTTATTTAATTTATTATATTTATA